CAAGACATTTTTAAATTTAGCCTCATTCTATTATTCATAGTTTATTTATTTTCCACTGTTATATATTTTACATTTGCATGATTATCTCATATTTGCAATATTTTTGAATTATTTTTATTTTTTCTATCAATTTAGAATTTCTCATTTCTATTTTTGAATTTATTATTTCATAATCATTTGCCTTATAATGATGAGTCATCATGATTTAGGGAAGTAGATTCGTATGCATTTAACACAGGAATTTTGTTGGCAGAATAAACCGTTTTGCTTGATTTATTCGCAGCTCTTAGTTTAAAACATGCAACCTATTCCGTTAAACTTTTATATATTTTCAAGTGACAAAAATGAGATTATCATGATCTGCTTCGATGGAATAAGCCATTTAGCGACATTTTAGCGTATTTTTAATTTTTAGCTAGATTTAAGTGTATATTTAAACTTTATCGGAATTATAATTTTAATTCATTGTTTTCATTCCATTTATCTTTGCTTTAAGGCTCGCCGAATTGCTGAAGACTTCCTCATGCCAAAGATAATGGACGAAGAAGAGGATGATGAGGCAGCAGGGGGCAACCAACGTAGTGAAGAAGAACTTATTCGTCTTCGTGAGGACAGTGACTACGAATCTTCTTCTTGTTCAGACTCTCACTCGGACGCTACTTCTGGGGGTTCTGAATCTGGCCTTGAGGATGATGAGCTTGGTAATGCCATTCACGGTGATCAGACGACTGGTACAACCTCCGAGACTGTGGCTGTTAATGTTGTCAGTTCCGGCCCTGTTGATGCTGATGGACTAGCTACGACCATGTGCCAAGCAATAGTGGAACCAGCAGTCGGTGAATCCTGTCAAGAAGCTAAGGAGGTTGGTCTCTCCACTGTCAACGGAGTCGGTGGTACTAGCACCAAAGTTGAGGAGGTGGACGGTTTTAATGCATCTCTTTCCAGTGCAGTTGATCAGAATTCCGAGAAGCCAGTAGTTTTGCCTTGTGCTGTTGATCCGCCCGGTAAAAAACCTACTGCTTTGCAGAAAAAAGAGAGACGTCGCCGAGAAAGAGCTGTAAAGGCAAGAGCAGCAGTTGCTGCTCGAGAAGCTGAGGCAGCCGCTGCTAATCTGGCTCTTTTGCCTGAAGAGCCACTTGATCGACTCTCAAATGTTGTTGGGCAGGCTTTGCGCGCCGGCAAAACAGTGGTATATTCTGTTATGCGGTCCGCCGCCAGACAGCCTAACGGCGAATTGATCCCTGTTGGAGGAGGTGGAGGTGGAAGTAGTTTTATGATGGGTGGGAGTGGGGGCTCAACCTCAGGTTTGATGGTTGGTCTGGGGGGTTCCCAGAATGCAAGTGGCATTGGCCACATGACTCACATGTCAATTGCTCATTCGAATATCTCTAATCTGGGTAGCTATGCTTCGCTCGGTGTCGATAAAATTCAGACAGGAAATATTGCTGGTGAGATATTTTCTTTACTTTTGCTCTGGTTACATTATTGTTGAATAATCATTTTTCACCACATCACTCGAGAATTGTCAAAAGTTATTTCTGGTTTTAAGCCTGTCATTTTATCAATTAGTTACCAGAGTGAGCAAAAAAAATCGATATGGTTCAAGTCGCAATTATTATTAATGATATTGTCATTACTATGATTATACTGCTATATAGAACTTGTTTTCCTAAAAAGGACGTGGACTGTCTCTAAAATATAAACTGTTTTCCGGGATCTATGAGTTATGTTCACCTATTTTATTTAAGTTTAAAACCCACTTAAGGCTACATATACATATTTTAGCCGTTCTAACTATTCATTCAAATTATTCCTACTAGTATGATTCATATTTATAATAATTTTCGACATAATGTTCCAACTTAAGGAAATTCAGAAAAAAAAACTACATATGTTGTTTTCCCGTAAGAGCAGTATCTAACTTATCATTCTCCACAATAACTAGAG